GGGACACAATAGATGTGGTTAGCGATAAAATCGTAGGTAGGACATATAATATATTGTATATAGCAATATGATAGGGCTTTTGTGTTAAAATCTCATTATATTATCAATATATATTATATATAACATAATATCTTCCAAAACCGATAAAAAAAAATCTGTCAATGATGACGCTAATAATAGTTTGTAAAGATCTGCCAGACTGTTTTTTTCGTAAATAATTGTTGAAACTATATTATTGCAATTTTTTTCATAAACGCATAAAAAATAATGATAACATAACTAACTAACAACCCAACAATCGTATAAAATTCATTTAAAGTAAAATTGTTCCTTAATTTGTTTTAATTTTGTTCATTTTTGTCTATGAAAGAGGCACAACTCTTTCTTGCTGTCAATTCTTGCCACAAAATGGTAATAAAATTTTTAATTTGTTTTATTCATTTAATTGAAATTAAAATTAAACACTCGATGATTGTTAATTAAAAATTAATCGTTAACTTAAAGCGTGAAATAAATTGTAAAAGTCGTAAAACTGATTCTGATCACATTCGAAAAGGAGAAATATACATAATATATATATATATATATATATATATATATATATATATATATATAAATAATGTGCTTTGTGTGAAAATTGTCAAGGTTTCTGCTACTTTCAATTTTCTAATTCCTAATAAGGGCTTCTTGAGGTCAACTTTGTAATTTCGATTTGTGTTTGTCGGAATATTTTGCAATTTTTATTAAGTCACATAAAAGGTAATAGAAACATAGAAATTTAATAATAGAATAAATAAAATTAAATTAAACCGATGCAGTAAATAATACTATTAAAGAAATATATTTAGATCTTTTCATGGGATTCATACTTGGTCTTGAGAATGCATAAGATAAAAATAATATAAAAGGTAAAAGATTATTAATACAAGATTTTTTCTTAACATAAAAATAATATGATAAATTTAAATGTTTAATTGTTATTTCTCATAAATTCAAATATTTAATTATTTATATTTTTATTTTTACTTGATTTTTACTTTGATTTTATTGATATTTAAATGTATGAACTGTCAAAACTGTCAAACATGGCGCATGAATAACACGTGACTTATTTGAAGGAAACTCAAATTCAAAATTGATTTATTCATTATTATTTAGAAATTGTTTGTTTTTCAGTTGTACGAGCTTTGGTCTTGTAATCAAGGTTCAAGGTTTAATTTGGACAAATTAGATTACAGGCAAAAGTGATATTCGTTTTTATTAGTTTTAAAATAAAGCTTGTGTCCAACTGTCAAATATGGCGTAATTGTCTTCAATTGTGAAGTGTGTCGCAAATTTATTGACAGTTCAAACATGTTGACACTTGACTGTCAAATATGGCGCAAGGGGTTAATGTTAAATGTGAAGTTAACAATTAGCAATAAATAGTAAACAAACATCATGATAAGGATAGAATTTAATTAAATATTTAAACTACAACATAAGGATACAATTATTAAGTAATAACTATTTGACTTCAAAGATTTCGATTTTTACCCTGTCAAAACTGTCAAATATGGAGTCTGAAGCATTTCTGACAGTCGAAACTGTCAAATATAGAATCAAAACTGTCAAATATGGCGTTAAAGATTTTAAAAAACATTTAAACTAGATAACTTTTAATTCAAATACCATCTACAACAAAAAATACATTAGTTATAATGATATTAATTAATTTATATTAGAACTCATAGTAGTGTTTTCGTCAACCGGAACCCCCAATTCTGTCGGAATGCTGATTTGGAACTGCAGAAGAACCACCAGATAGGTCACCATGGTCGCTAATAACTATTATAACAAAAACAAATATAATAATAATATATATATATATATATATATATATATATATTTATTATTTTTTACCGATTTGAATAAGTTTCGGTTTACGTAGAAAAATCCGCCCAAACTGATATTCGATGGATTCATTTCCGTGGCCCTTAAGAACTGGTGGACCTCCGTTTGGCCAGCAATGTTCATCCAGGACAGGTTGACCATTAGGAGCTTCTTTTGGAAATTCGTTTGGACCTTAAAGAATAATTATATAATGAATTTATAAAAGAGGACTCTACTGACGAGCAAACTGAAAGAAAAGAAGGGGACTATACTAAATAGTGACTTAGAAGATAAAATGAAAGGACTCTACTGACGAGCAAATTAAATAGATATCTCGAAAAAGAAAGAGGGCTCTACTGACGCGTAAACTAATTCTATATAAGAAACTTATAGGGCAATTTTGCTGTAACAAAGCTCATAGCATAGCGTTGTCATGGCAATGCTCTATTATGCTTGTTCTTGGTAGTGAATCTGTGTATTCCTTCCATTTGCAGTACGATCAGGCGTATTTTACATATAAACAAAACAAAGAAGAATCTCATGATAACTGCATCATTGAAGATTCTGTTTGCTCGTCAGTACAATCTTTTTCATATTTTATGTCTTGCATTTGAGTTTTGCAGTTTACTAAAGTCCTATTTTTTCAGATTGCTTTTTAATTTATTTTTAGTCTTTCATTCTTTCATATCTTTTCATTTCATTTTTTTATATCTCAATTATCATTTAGTCATTCATTTCTTTATCTTATGTCGAATTTCAGTTTGCTCGTCATTAGAGTTCTCTTTTTATCTTATTGCCTATGTTTTAATTTGCTCGTCAGTAGAATTTTTTTCTTGGTATTATGTCGAGTTTGCTTGTCAGTGGGGTCCAGTTTTACTTGCTAATTTACTCGTTAGTGGAGTCCTTTTTGCTTCAACATTTAAACTTGGACGTCAGTAGAGTTCTCTTTTCTAATATTTCCAGGTTCAAGTTCGATTTGCTCGTCAGTAGAGTTCGTTTTCCAATCCTTTATTTTGCCAGTTAGTAGAATTATTTTTTTTAGTGTTAGTTTGTTTGTCAGTAGAGTTTCTATATATCTTTAATCAGATTGCTCGTCAATAGATACTCTTTTTCAGTTTGTTGTCAATAGTCACATTTTTATTTTTTTCTTTGATTTTTTTTGTAGTATTTTTAGTTTACTCTTCTGTGCTGTTCTTTTTGTTTACTTGGAGTTTTATTTTTTCTCATTTCTATTTGCTCGTCAGTAGAGTCCTTTTTTCTTTTTAATTCTGTTTGCTCTTCAGTAAAAATAATTATTCACCTCTTTAAGAGTTCTTTTTTGCCTTATAATTCTTTACTCCCTTTTTCTAAGAAAGTTTCTTCACTTTCTTAGTTTGCTTGTCAGTAGGGTCCTTTTTGCTTTAACATCTTTCATTGCCAATATTGTTCTCTAATTCAAATTTAATTTGCTCGTCAGTAGAATTCCTTATCAGATAATTGTTTATAAAAAGTTTTGGCAATTTTAAATTGTTTTTCAGTAGAGTTCTTTTATTTTTTTGTATTCCGTCCGTCAGTTTCGTGTGCTTTTTCTTAGTGTGCTCATCAGTAGAGTTGCTTTATTTTACATAAAATATTTTTGTAATTTTGGTAAATTGGTAAATAATTTTGTGCGACATTTTCATTTCTACTGTGCTTAGCTTGGCGGCATTTTCACATTTTTCAATAGTTTTCGCAAAATTGGAAAAGTGCTCCGGTACACAAACAGTCTAAACGCACTTGGGTAATTTTTTGAATTTTTAATCCAAAATTACAAAATTATTTTTTGAAAAAAAAATTAGGAACAAAATTTTTTTGCAATAGCGATTATTTTGTTGAAACAAGCAGAAGTTTTTCAGATCATTCAAATCTGATACTCCGTTTTCTCAACAACTCGATTTCTATTTTCTTCACTCTATGCTCCGTATCTCCGTAACGACTGTACCTGCCTTTGCCAAAAACTAATCAGCATATCTCCTTATCAATAGGAATCGAATGTTTTTTTAACCATTTAAATCGGTTGATCCGTGCGCCCGAAAACGTGACTGGAAATTTTTATCCATACATACATACAAACAAACACATACACACACACACATCCATTTAGTTTCTGAGGTATGCTCCTTAAAAATGTTCAGAAACCTTCAAAACGTCGAGAAATGTAAAAATTTTCAATTTCGATTTTCGGCCCATTACAATAACTTACACTACGGGAAGTTAATAAAAAAGGGACTCTACTGACGTTCAAACTAAAGAATGGACTCTACTGACGAGTAAACTGAATGAAAAAAATAATTAAGAAACTCTACTGATGAGTAAACTGGTAAAAAAAACTAACTCTTCCTGTTGGAAAGTTTGTGCAACTTGCCTTAAGGCAAAATAAAAATGCATTTAATGGTCTGATTCTGTCGCATAACAGTCAAAAAACGATCTTATTATTTGATAACACATGGACATTTTGACAGTATTCAGTATGATTCAGTAGCATAATGTATGCAAGTCAGAGCGCAACATAGCCTTGCCATAACATTTGTCTGTTATGCAGCACAATCGATCCTTAAAATACACAAATGAATCCTTTATCACTTACATTGCTGGATGCATAATGGGCTTCATCGCATATAAAGAACAGCAGGCAGACAGACGCTGCAGCAGGCTGTCAGGGCCAAACCGATGTCTTTGGTGCCGAAACCGTCGTTTATCTTCGACATCAGTCCGTAGATCGACAGTGTTATGATTAGAAAAAGATAGAGGTTGATGAAGGTGAATGTGTAGCAGGTTGCCAGGCCTGTGTCTCGGGTCATCCTGCTGAGGCGCAGCCAGAGGCCGCGGTAGTCGGCCACGAGGGCGGCGGGGCCTATGTGGCGGAGAGCCTAGGGAAAAAGGATAGTAATAAAATAAACAAAACTAGTTTGGTATTTAGCCTTGAGGCAAGTTACATGAACTTCCCGATATGTGTAAATAATCGACTTAATCAAAAAAAAAAATAAATTAATTTATGAGTCATTAAAAGTATTCCGAGTGGATTTATTACACATAATTGAAAACAAACGAACACTTTGACTTTGACTCGAAGTATTTTCTAAAAACAAATTTTCAAAAATCAATAATTTTTAAAATCCATAGGACTTTAATGGTATGTTCATTAAGACCGAGTACTCTATCGTTATACCAAATAAATTGTCTAATTTTAATTTTAACAAACATCAAAAAAACTAATCATTTTCTCAAACTTTGATAAATTTCTAAAATTAAACTACTGGCCGTAAGGCCGCAATATTTCAGTAAGTTCTATAAGACCATGATATATATCGCCAAAAAAGTTCCATAAAAATCGGCTTCAATTTTTTTTTCAACAGTAAAATACAAGAAAACGGCTCGGTAGATTTTCACCTAAAATTAATCAGCATCATTCCCAACTAATATCTTTCGAACAGTTTTTGATTTTTTAAAATCGGTTCGGTAGTTTGAGGTTAAATGTGGACAAAAAGTTTAACACTTTTTTTCAAATTACAAAGAAATGGCTCGGCAGATCGTCTCACAAAACAGACAAACGATAGTCCTCATTGAGATACATCAAATAGCTTTTAAACCCCTGAAATCGTTTCAGGCGTTTTTGAGAAAATGTCGATCAAAGGTCTAACTTTGACAAATGCCAAAAAACGATAGTACTTTTTGCAAACTTTGAAGAATTTTTAAAATTAAACGGCTTGTCGCAGGGCCGTAATATTTGAGTATGATCTAGAAGACTATGATATCTACCGTCAAAAAAAAATCATAAAAATCGTCGAATTTTTTTTTTTTTAACTTTATTACAAGAAAACGGCTCGGCCGATCTTTACCAAAAACTAATCAGCACGATTCCCAACCAATATCTATCGAATGGTTTTTGAATATTCAGAATCGATTCAGAATTGCGGGCTAAAACGTGGACGAAAAATTTTTCACTTTTCTGCAATTTACAAAGAAACGGCCCGGCCGATCGCCGCACAAAACTCAGAGACGATAGTCCTCATCGAGATACATCAAATGGCTTTTAAATTTTTGAAATCGGTCCAACCGTTTTGGAGAAAACGTCGATTTACGGCAAAAAATCTGTTCACACACACACACACACACACACACATACTATTTCCAAATGTGATCTCATTCGATTCAGAATGGCTTGAAATGTCGAGAAAACATAAAATTAGCGAGTCGGATTTTTTGATGAAAACATAAACTTCTCCTTCGGGAAGTTAACAAGTCAGATGCAAGTGGAATTATTGAAGTGAAATTTTTTTAGACGCGAAAGAAAATAATAAATATACAGTTACGATCGAATTTTGTTACAGTACGATTATATTTTGTGTTCAAATTTCTCGCCGCTCTATAACGGCCTCTCCCACTAGTAGGAGAGTGTCTTATATGCTAAAATTGCACTACGCTTTACACAAGCACGTCCTGTTCTGTCTAAGCCGCCTAACAAACAACAAATCTTCGCAAATGTAAAATTATTATTTCTGTGTGTTCAATAAATTCTGTATATAATTTCTTCGTGTGCTTCTTTTTAAACCAACAGTACTCAAGAACAAACTGAGAAATATGATAAAAAGGGACAGAGTGTAAAAGATAAGAAACACAAAACTTTAATGCTGTTTTAAGTTGACCGTGAGTAGAGTTCTTTTTATACTCTTATATGACATTTTTTTTTAGAAATTTTGATGAGCAAATTTACAAGCCGACGAGAAAAATGAAAAAGGAAATCTACTGACGAACAAATCGAATAAGAAAATAAGAAGGGACTTTACTGACCAGAAAACTAAAAAGAGACTCCACTGACGAGCAAATCGAGAAAGAAAATAAAAAGAAACTTTACTGACGAGCAGATTAAAAAATAACTCTACTGACAAACATACTGTGTTTCTATTCTAGTAAGTGGGATTCTACTTACGAGCAAATTATGTAAAAATGCAGAAGATAAATAATAGAACTGTACTGACGAATAAATTAAATAGAAATCTAGAAGATATTTATAGGACTGTAGTAGCAGACTACAAAACTAAATGTTAATATGAGAAGAAGTAAATAATTATACTGACGATCCGATTAAATAACAGAAGAACTCTACTGACGAGTAAACTGAGGATAAAAATGGAAAAGGGACTTTACTGATGAGTAAATTAAGAAAGAAAATAAAAAGGAACTCTACTGACAAACAAACTGAGATGAAAAATAAAAAGGGACTCTACTGACGGGCAAACTGAGAAGAAAAAATAACAGTGACTCTACTGACAAGCAAACTAAACATTAGGAAGAAAATGGAAAAAGGAACTCTACTGACGAGTAAACTAAGATAGACAACTAGAAAGAGACTCTACTGACGAACAAACTAAAAATAAGAAACGATAATATAACGAGACTCTACAGACAGGCAAACTGAAAAAAAATTAGAAAGGGACTGTACTGACGAGCAATCTAATAAAACGAATAAAATAAAGATTCTACTGACAAGTATACTAAGAAAGTGAAAAAGCATGAAACTTCACTAACAGCAAAATATAATGGAGAGAAGAGAAGAGAGTGAATAAAAGAAACTCTACTGACGAGCAAATTAACCGACAAAAATTTTAATAAACTGAAGAACAATTTAAACTAGAATTAAAAAACTCTATTATTATGATTATTGGATGTTAAACCAAAAAGGACTCTACTGACGAGCTAATAGAATTTGTACTTGCAAAAATGCGAACAAGAAATAAGAAACAATACTAGCGAACAATTTAGCTGCTTTTGTTTGTAAATAAAATGATTGTATTGTAGATCGAATTAATTAGCAAGAAAACTCTACTGACGAGCAAATTAAAAAAAAAGAAAATAATGAAGATACTTTATTGTTGAACAAACTAAAAAATTATATAAAAAAATAACTCTACTGACGAGCAAATTGGAAAATATAATAAAAAAAAGAACTCTACTGATGACCAAACTAAGAGAGAAAACAAAAAAGGGGACTCTACTACCGAGCAAACTATAAAAAAAGAAATAAAATATAAAAGGGACTCTACTAACGAGCAAAATTAGGAAAAACTAATAATAAAACTAACAAAAAAAGGACTCTACTGACAAACAAACTAAATTTTGATCTAGAAGATAAAATCTGTTGAGCCAATTGAGAAAAAACAGAAAGAAAATAAAGTATGGAACTCTACCGACGAGCAAACTGGAGAAAAAAAATAGAAAGGGACTCTACTGACGAGCAAGTTGAGAAAGAAAATAAAAAAGAAACTTTACTGAAGCGCAAATTGGAGGAAAAATAAAAAAAAACTCTACTGACGAGCAAACATAAAGAAAAAATAGAAGAGACTCTACTGATGAGCAAATTGAGAAAAAAAATAAAAAAAAAACTCTACTGACGAGCAAACAAAAGAAGAATATAATAAAGGGACTCTGCTGACGAGCAAACTAAGAAGGAAAGATAAAAAGGGCTCGGCTAACGAGCAAAGAAAATCAAATTATTAAATCAAACTTAGCATTTGAGACTCCTATTGACAACAATTTAATAAAAAAAAAACTTGGATCTAAAAAAAGACTATTTAAATAGCATTGTGGAAGATACATAGAACTTTTTACTAACGAGCAAGCGGATTTTTGAAATGAAATAAGAATGAGGGCTGCACTGACGAGCAAACAAATTCTCGATGCAAGACAACAAAAAGGACTCTACTGACAAGCAAACAGCAAATAGCAAAAACATATTTATAATTTTGTAAGCAAAAAAATTTCTAATATATTTATAATACAGTTGAAAATAATATTTTATAAAGTAATACATTCCCACAACAAAAACACAGACAATAGACTCTACTGAAGAGCTAATCTAAAAAATAAGAAAAAGAAACTCTTCTGTCTAATATATCTAGAAAAAATAAGAGGAAGGAACTCTACTGACAGGCAATTAATTTTTATATTGATTGTGAACATTGACAATATTAAAAAGAACTCTACTGATAAACTAAAATAGTATTTAGTGAACTGAAATAGTCTTTAGTGAAACACAAGAATCAAAAGAATAAATTTCACTCAACGAAATTTATAAACACTAAAAATAGACTCTACTGACGAGCTAATCTAAAACATTAGAAAAATAAACTCTTCTTTTTCAGAACAAGAGAAAGGAACTCTACTGACAAGCAATTGAATTTTATATTGATCGTAAACATTGGCAATATTAAAAAGAACTCTACTGAAAAACTAAAATTGTCTCTGGTGAACTGAAATAGTCTCTAGTGATATACAAGAACCAAAAAAATAAATATTACTCAACCTTATCCGAGTTCACAACCATCTCTTACCACTTGAAAGTCTTCAGCGACCTCGGTGGCGGTTTCGCCAATGACACCACACATTAGGTACCAATAAGCGCCCAACATATAGGTCAAAGTATCCAAAAAACAGTAAGGGATCACCTGGATAAAAAAAATACATAAGAAATATATTATCCCAAAGGCAGGACCAACCATTTCGGAGCTACTGTGCAAAAATCATAATTCAGTTATTGAGAGAACGGATCATCCGATTTGAATGATTCAAAAGACATTTTACTTGTATGGATGTAATGAAGAAATTGTTACATTTTTGGAAAGGCAGGTCGAGTGGTTTCGGAAACAAAGTTTGAAAAAATACAATTTGGTGATGAAGAATGATTATTAGTAAATAAGATAGTTTGTATCTGTTATTACCTGGAATACGTGAAATTCGACCATGGTGACGTGTGTCACCACTACCGACATTGTCGACATTATCGGTATCAAAATCGATATGAAGAGCGACTTGCTGTGCATTTTGATTGGCAACACTTTGCCGGACACTCTCTGGTAACACAACTAAAAATGGATTAACATTAACAGTAACACGAATTAAGTGATTAATAGGGCAATTGGTAGTGAAAACTGTAAAAATGTCTATCTATTTGCTGTGCGATCAGGCGTATTTAACATATAAACAAGCCCAGAAGAATGTTTGAAAATTCTTTTATTATAACATTCTTCTTTGCTTGCTGTTTGTAGGTAAAATACGCCTGACCGCACAGCAACTAGATAGACATTTATACAGTTTCACTATGAATGAACATGCATAAGATAGCGTTGCCATGACAATGCTATTCTATGAGACAGAAATCCTCCTAAATTAATAATTTATATAATAACTTTATACAAGATAGATTTGTTCTGCTAAATTTTACACTAAGATAAGATAGAGAGAACGAAAGAATTATATTTGGTTATTTTGAGGTTATGTCGCCTTCTCGATTTTTTGCATAAGATACTTTTATGTTTAACAGATAAATCTAATATTAAATAAACTCTCTTATAATACTATTAGAGTAGGATAAGATGATTTTGTTATATACCAAAGATAAAAGTGCCTTAAGGAAGAAAAAATAGCACTATTTTTTTTTTTACTTTGTTCATCAATAAAATCCCTTTTTTTTACTGTTATATAATAACCAGTCATTGTTTTGTCTCCTCATTAGTAGAGTTTTTTTTCACTCTTGTTTTTTTGCTTTCCTTGTCAGTAAAATTCTGTTGCCAACTCCTTGCAGTTTGGGCGTCAGTAGAGTCCCTTCTTCTTCTTACTGTATTTTCAGCTTGTTTAAGTGTTTTTGTTCTTATTTCACTTTGGTCGTCAGTAGAGTCTATTTTGTTATTCTTCAAATCGGTGCTCGTCAGTAGAGTCCTTTTGTCTTCTATTTTATTTTGATTGTCAATAGAGTCCTTTTTTGTTTTTCAGTAGAGTCCTATTTTAATCATGTTGTGATCCTTAGTAGAATCCAATTTGTTTGCTTTTTTGTCTTTTATATCAATTTTCTGGTCAGTAGAGTCCTTTTTTGTCTTTTATATCAATTTGCTCGTCAGTAAAGATTTTTTTAATGTGTTATATTAAAAATTTGCTCGTCAGTAGAGTTCCTTTTCCTCGTTATTTTTTGTTTGCTTATTAGTAGAATCTCTTTTTCGATGTAATGTTTGCTAGACAGTAGAGTCCTTTTTGGTTTTTATATTAATTTGCTTGTCAGCAAAGTCTTTTTCAGTCCTTTATATTAATTTGCTCGTCAGTAGAGTCATTTTTTGTCTTTTATATCAATTTGCTTGTCATTAGAGTTCTTTTTTATTTTATATTTTAGTTTGCTTGTCAGTAGAGTCCTTTTTTGTCTTTCATATCAATTTGCTCGACAATAGGGTTCTTTTCTATTTATATATTAGTTTGCCAGTCAGTAGAGTCCTTTTTAGTCTTTTTATATCAATTTGCTAGACGACAGTACAGTTCTCTTTCGTTTTTTATTCTCGTTTGCTCATCAGTAGAGTTTTTTCTTTTATATTAATTGGCTCACCAGTAGAGTCATTTTTTATTTCAGTTTGCTTGTCAGTAGAGTCTTTTTTCGTATTTTTTATTAATTTCTTTGTCAGTAGAGTCCTTTTTTGTTTCTTATTTTTGTTCGCTCGACAATAAAGTCATTTGTTCTTTATATTAATCTGCGTGTCAGTAGAGCCATTTTTTGTTTTTTGATATCTATTTGCTCGTCAGTAGTTCTTTTCTGTCTTTTATATCAATTTGCTCGTCAATAAAGTCCTTTATTGTTTATTATTTTTGTTTGCTTGTCAGTAGAGTCCTTTTTTGTCTTTTATATTAATTTGCTTGTTAGTTGTGTCCTTTTTTGTTCTTTATATCAATTTCCTCGTCAGTAAAGTTCTTTTCTGCCTTTTATATCAATTTGCTCGTCAGTAAAAATCTTTTTTGTTCTTTATATCAATTTGCTCGTCAGTAGAGTAGCTTTTCAGTTAGTAGAATTTCTTTTTTAATTTCTCTCTTAGTTTTCTCGTCAGTAGGGTTCCTTTTCGTCTCTTATATTAGTTTATATATCAGTAAAGTTTTCTTGTCTCAGTGCTTATCTGCGATTGCTTATTTTTTAAACAATTTGCTCGTCAGTAGAGTCCTATTTTACGTTTATTTTCAGTTTGTTCATCAGCAGAGTCACTTTTGTCTCTAATTTTAGTTTGTTCGTCAGTAGAGTCCTTTTTTTACTACCTTTTATTATCTCTACTAAACCAGTAACTTGTCCTAAGGCACATAATATGATATATACTATTAGTTACCTCAAAGTCTGACCAGCCGTTCAAGACCTGAGCGATTTTTCTGGTTTCTAGCCACATCATGGGAACCAGGATCAGTGGTAACATGTTTACCAGAAATAGATAGCCGACCATGGCTTCTTCAAAACCGCCTTCGAGGCTCTTTACGATGTCGAAACGCATTTTACCGACATAACCTAGAAAAATAACATTAGTCAAATATTTATAATACAGGATTTTTAAGACTTTGAGTAGGATAGTGCTCGTCGAGACCTTTCATTTGATATCTTAACTCTAGTCCGTGCTTATGATCTGCACCAAACGTTTATAAATTTACTAATTACTTTGGAAGCTTTTTTAAAAATATATTTTAAAAATATATTCAGTTAGCTTGTCAGTAGAGTATTTTTTATCTTTTGTATACTTAATTAATTTGCTCGTCAGTAGAGGCCCTTTTTACGTCATTTATGCAATTTGCTCGTCAGTAATCATAAATAGTGACGACTTTTTTAATGCAATGATCAGATTTAGTTTGCTCATCAATAGAGTTTCTCTTTTTTATCTATAGTTGCTTTGATTAGATTACTCGTAAGTAGAGTCCTATTTCTCTTTCATTTTAGCTTGCTAGTAAGTAGGGTGCCCTTTTTATCATTAGCGTATTTTGCTCGTCAGTAGTGTCACCTTTCTTATAGTTTGTTTTCTGATCGTTGGAAGAATCATATCTTATCTCTCTAGTGTTGCCATATGAGATATAAAACATGTAACCGAGAACAGATATTACACATCTCATAACATTTTATATCGTTTTTGTATTTTGCTCGTTAATTAGTATATTTTTAATTTTCTTGAAGTTTGCTCGTCAGTAGAGTCTCTTTTGACTTTTAATTTGTTTGTCAGTAGAGTCCTTTCTCATTTTCTTACTTAGTTTACTCGTTAGTAGAGTCCCTTTTGATTTTTGTTACAATTTGCTTGTCAATAAATTCCCTTTTTATGTTTTCTCTCAGTTTGCCTGTAAGTAGAGTCCCTTTTGTCTTTTAATTTGTTTGTCAGTAGCGTCTCTTTTTTATTTTCTTGCTTAGTTTGCTCGTCAGTAAAGTTCTCTAATTGTCTTTTATTTTAATTTGCTCGTCAGTAGAGTCCCTTTTGACTTTTATTTTGCAGTTTGTTCGTCAGTAGATTCCTTTTTTTCTTCCTCAGTTTGCTCGTCAGTAGAGTCCCATTTCATTTTCTTCTTTACTTTGCTCGTCAGTAGAGTCCCTTTTAATTTTTTCCTTTTAGTTTGCTCGTCAGTAGAGTCCTCTAATTGTCTCTTATTTTAATTTGCTCGTCAGTAGAATCCCTCTTTTATTATCTCTCAGTTTGCTTGTCAGTAGAGTCCTTTTGTCTCTTATTTTATTTTCTGACCAATTAAATCTATTTTTGTGGTTTGCTCGTCAGTAGAGTCTCTTCTGTCTCTTATTCTCAATTCGCTCGTCAGTACAGTAGCTTTCTTAGATACTTTTTTAGATAGCTCGTCAGTAGAGTCTCTTTTTTATATCATTTCTTTAGTTTTTGTAGTGTACTTGTCAGTAAAGTCCCTTTTCATTTTTCTTTAGCAGTTTGCTTGTCGCTAGAGTCTCTTTCTTATTTTCTTTTTTAGTTTGCTTGTTAGTAGATTCCTTTCTTTTAGTTTGCTCGTCAGTAGAGTCCCTTTTTATCTTCTTCTTCAGTTTACTCGTCAGTAGAGTCCTTTTGATCATTATTTTGCAGTATGTTCGTCAGTAGAGTCCATTTTATTTTTTTCTTCAGTTTGCTCGTCAGTAGAGTCCTTTTTTTTCTTTTGCAGTTTGCTCGTCAGTAAATTTTATTTTTTATTTATTTCAGTTTGCTTATTGATCAAGTTCTTTTCTATTTTATTCTTTAGTTTACTCGTTAGTAGAGTCCACTAATTGTCTATTATTTAAATTTGCGTGTCAGTAGAGTCCCTTTTGTCTTTTAATTTACTCGTCAGTAGAGTCCTTTTGATCATTATTTTGCAGTGTGTTCGTCAGTAGAGTCCTTTTGTCTCTTATTTCAATTTACTCTTCAGTAGAGTCTTTTTTATCTTTTTCTTTAGTTTGCTCGTCAGTAGAGTCCCTTTTTTAGTTTCTCTCTCAGCTTGCTCGTCAGTAGAGTCCTCTAATTGTCTCTTGTTTCAGTTTTCTCGTCAGTAGAGTCTCTTTAATCTTTTTTTTAAATATCCTCGTCAGTAGAGTCAATTTCAGTAGCAGCAGTAACTAGCATTCAATATATAGTTATTGGGATTTTAACTGTTCAAGCCGATAGTACCCTTTATCAGTAAATCGATATCATTGTGAGTTCCGTACTCCGCTGTAATTATTCGGCAAATAAATTGAATTGAATTAAAATAGTGTTTAATTTACTAAACAAGTTCTACAAGACATACAATTTACGAATTTCTTGGAAAATACTTTCCCTATCTATTATTAACTTCCCGTAGGGCAAGTTATAGTAATCGCAAAAAAATCGAAAATGAAAATTTTTATGTATCTTTACGTTTCAAAGGTTTCTGAGTATTTTGGCATACCTTAGAAAAAATGGATGTATGTGTGTGTGTGTGTGTGTGTGTGTGCGTAGTATGTATGTGTGTGCGGATACAAATTTTCGTCGACGATTTCGGGAATACGGATCAACCGATTTGAATAATTCAAAAAACATTCGATCCGTATTGATAAGGAGACGTGCTGATTAGTTTTTGGCGAAGGCAGATCTAGCCGTTCCGAAGATACGGGACAAAAAGTGCCGAAAACGGTAACTCAGTTTTTAAGAGAACGGAGCGTCCGATTTTAATAATTCAAAAAACATTTCACTTGTATTGACAAGATGAAGAATCGATTAATATTTCATGAAGGTAGGTCTAGCAATTTCGGAGATCTAATGAAAAAAGTAAATAAAAATGCCGTTTGGCAGTCAAAAATGATCATTAGACATATGCACATCAAATT